ATGTAAGTCCAGCTGTGTGCTCTGAGCACATTCTTTCATCTCTTCTAACCTATTTTTTCCAGTGTCAACTAGACGAGAAAAAGCATCAAATGTGTTTTGCTTATTGCCTAACAGATAGTAGTTCCTCAATTAATATATTAGCTATCGGTCTTTAAAAATGATTTGGAGCTTATGGAAGGTTCAAGACCAAATTATTTTGCAGACATTTCAGAGTGAGGATTTCACAGGCAGGATTTATAAAGACGTTGAAATGGAAGACATCTGAGATAGAAAAGGGAAGGCATTTTTTCAGGAGGAGAGAGTCCCAGCTACAGGGATCACAATGGCCTAACTTCTCTCCCTGCATTTCTTTAATGATTAGAAACCACTCAGCCTAGCAGAAACTAAAGAGAGTTCTATAAGGATACAGAGAGATCAGGAATTAAAGACAAATACAGTACAGCATCCAGTGACTGAGAACTGGCAAAGTCTGCAATCAGGCTACTCTGGACATTTCTTTCTCCCCATTTTCTCTCCTCTTTCCCTACCAGCCTCTGCAGTTTTGATGTCTTGCACCTGGCCCACCTTGACCAAAAGCCTTGACTTGAGCCATCACCAATGAGCAAAAGTTCCTTAGTTTCTTCCTTCAGATTCTTGCAAGAGATAATCCCATTGGTTCAGCTCATCTAGCCTAACCAGTGGGCCTAGCCAATGGGGCCTCAGGTATACATCTCTGTTTCAATTAGACCTGGCTTCCTCTCCCAGGATAAGAGTGATTCTGTGCGTGTGTTGTGTGTGTTCTAGAGCCTGGTAAACAAGGACACTAGTCCCTTGTAAAGATGTGGGTATATCTATTTCAGGCCCTCATCAGGGGACAAGGCTGTGGATTAGGCACTCATGCCAGTGACCTGTGAGGTCTGACATTTAACTCTGAGAGTCCTAAGGAATATCCTATGATTCAGGGGCTTTACTTACTGTCCTTGAATCTTGCAAGACAAGGTCTGCTTACCTTTTGTTCCCTCGGGAGCTTCAAGGCTTCGTTTAATGACTATTACAAACACCTTCTGCTCTGCCAGAATTAAACCACTTAAAATTTGTTCTTTTGCCTACTTAATTTCACAGTTTTGTTTTTCTTTTTCCACAGAGATTGTAAAGTTCCTGAAGGGGAAGCCTCATGTTTGGAGATAATTTTAGAGAACTAATTTATTTTAGAGATATGGAAACTGAGGCCCAGGGGGAGGAAATGTCAAACAGCAAGAGATGTCAAATCAACGCCTTGCCATGTCATATGTGCAGCATGCTCTCAGTAGATATTTCTCGGTTTGTTTCTTATTCCACATTTGCTTTTCTCAAGCTCATTGTCCTCTGTCCATGTCCCTTCATCTACAACCGATGGCCACCTTAGGGGATCACTTTGCATCTGGTGTTCAAGTGATGGTCTTTGGGTTGTGTAGTGGAAGCCGAGAGGAGGCAGAGGTGAAATTCAACCTGGTTCTATCAAGCCATTATCTCTTTAGGCCAACACACCACAGCAGCAGCACAGATGCCAGCCTGGCAACTTCCTTCTGTGGGGTCAGTGGCTGCACTCTGCACACTAAAACCACTCTAGCTCCCACCAAGGTCACTATTTCTGCAGTGCTCCCAAGCCAGTGCTACATAACAGGGACTTGAGCCACTGCTAAATTCCTCGAAGTAGAAAGTCACAGTGGCTTTAGTCCCTCCTTTCCTCCCAGAAGTCTTCTCTGACCAATGCAACCTAATGGGAACCCTGAGTTCAGTTTAAGTCACCCTCGTGCAGTGAACCACTTGACTTCCTTTGGTGGCCTGGATGTCAGCCTTGTCACAGTTTCTTCCCTTAGCACTCTGGTGGTTCCCACCAGGCCTTCAATCAATGTTAATGGTGTGGGGTACAGTTCAGTGGCTGAGTAAGGGCTTAGCATGTATTAAGCCCTTAGTTTAATCTCAGCATCAAAGAATTAAACTAACTAAATACACACATACCTAAATGTGAGGAATCAGGGTGGGTGGGGGGTAACTTTTCCCTAGAAAAACTGCAGAAGGAACAGAGAGAAAGAACAGAGAGATAAAGAAGAAATATTTAATTTTGCTAGTGTCTTAGGCAAACATGGATTAGAAGCAGCTGCTTAAAACACAGAGAACTATCCTGGTTTTCATTTCTAGGCCTTTCGGCCACTCCAAATCTGAAAGAGTTACCCAATGCTAGTGTCATTTCCCCAGGAACCCCCAGTTCATTAACTCAGCAGCATTTCTGATTCTAACTTGTAGGCCAGGTACAAGGTCAATGACAATTCGAGGAAGAAGGGCTTCAGATGAGGGCTATGTAAGCCCAGCCTGCTACTTGCAACTCCCATCCCAGGGAACTTCAGTCTGGGGGATCCATAGAGCCATCTCCCAAGTCGCCCATTCCACCTTGAAATGCCTATCATCAGAGGCCGCCTTGGCGAGCTCTCAATCAGAAAACAAAACTGGCAGGGTTGGAGAAGAGAATGCATGAAAGATCTTAGGGAGGTTAGTGAAGGTTTATTAGTGTGGAGGGAAAGCAGAGAGCCAGGCTCTGAGAACACAGAAAGGCAGAAGGTAGGTCTGATGTGCAGCAGTGCGGGGCTTGGGGGCACAACCCAGAGAAGGTGGACTTGGATGGGGGTCTTTGGGCAGCAAGGTGGGGAGGAGGAGAATATAAACCACAGTCAGGTGATGAGGGTAGGTGGGAGAAGTAGGAGCCAAGAAGATTCTTGAAGATTAACCTAACTTAGTTCATACACTAGAATGAGCTCTTCCTCCTTGGATTTCTCCCTGCAACATGAGTTCTGCTGGCCTAAGTCTACAGAAGGAAATTTAGGGATCATTCTTATAGGTTAGAAAGATCTTAAGACAGGAAAGAGACTCAGCCATCATGAATAACTTCCCCTGTTACAGACCCCACTTAAATATATTATTCCATTGGTCCTCACAAAACCAAGAAGATTGTTGAATAAACTGCTCAAGGTCACCTCAGCTGGACAGAAGTTAGCTGCTGATGGTAGCAGAGCCTGAAAGACCATGGGTAGGATTCAAACCCAGGGATCAGGTTGACTCGAGAGTATGTTGTTCCCACTGCCTGGCTTACCCCAGGTCCACATCCCACACAGAGGCCTTTGTTGTTCATGGGCGTTTTATACTCTGTGCCTTGCTCAGCCTCTCCTCCCTCACCTCTGGGACTGATTTAAAGCAAGAGTAAAGCCAAGATCCAAGACCCATTCTCTTTTCCTTTACAGATGGCATCCCTGTCACACAATGTGCAAAACCAGAAAGGTACAAAAATGAGAATTTGTAGAAAGGACAGAATCCAGTACTATTAGTTAATATTTTGTAAACCCAGGAAATTGTCCAGATGTTAAAACATAAAAATGACTCACTGCTACACCAATGAGGCATAAATGCTAAGAAAGACAAAGCAGCGGGAAGAGTCAGGTGTTCTGAAGTCTGTTCCTTTTGTGGTGAAGCAGGACTAGGCCTGGCACTCAGACACCTGGCTTCAGGTACCCACTTTGCCTCTTGGCAATACTTGGCTGTGAATGTGCTGCTGGAATCTCTGGGCCTGCTGCCTTTATTCCACAGGGCATGGAGTTGGGTATGTGTCACCCACTGTGCCCTCTGGCACAAAAAATTAAAGGAGTTCCCTACAAGATGTAGATGCTGTTCTCCTTTTATCCAAAACTTGGCTCCTTCCATAGCTCAAGCCTAAAACACACGTTCTCTACATAGAACAAAATCCTATCCATCCTTCCAGGCCCACGCCAAGCTCACCTCTTTGGGGAAGCTGTCCCAGGCTCCTCCTGCGCTCTAGACTCGCTCCCTTCTTTCTACACTGCCCAGCTCCACTTGCCCCTCTGTCAGGCCAAACTGCTGGGCCAGTCAGAATCAGCTCTCTTCTCTGGCATCTGGAGCCTTTGTCCTCCATAGTTTTAGTCAGATGCATGTCCATTCCTTTGCCTTTGTTAAAAATCTTAGAGAAAAAGACATTATAGTAATTCTTTGCATAAATACCCTTTCCCTGACCCCTCCCACTCCATCTTGGTTGCCTGCTCCTCTGTGGGTTCCATAGCACTTTAGTTTATCCTTATGTTAAATGTTGACTTATCTCCTGTACTTTCATGGACGGTGGACCTTTAACTAAACTGAGCTCCTTGGGAGCCTAGAGTGAGGGTCTTCATGTCTTGGAATTCCCAAATAGTCTGTAGAAGGGCTCAGCAAATGTTGTAAGAATTCATCAATACATGGATTTCTACAACAGTTCTGTGTCTGACTTTCTTGCTTGGTGGGGCATAAGCATTTTAACTTTCTCCTAAAGGCTGCTCTGTGCCAAGTTCAGTTTTAACATTGGTGACTTGGTTAAGTGATGACTGAATTATCCACAGCATGGAATATCCCAGCTACCCTGTCCCAGCCTTTAGCATGGCCAATGGAAAATTAATTGGTTGCAAAGTGCATATCTAATTACAACATCCCGCCCCTGCCACAGCGATGCTCAAATGTTAATTGTAACATATGCATCTCAATAACCGACGGAGGCACTTAATGCAGCATTAATAACGCCACCCCCCTCCCGCCCCCAGTGCATACACAAAGCTCCCCTTTATCTGCCATTAGGACAGGCTGCGCTTTAAGCGTGGAAATCCTCATCCTTATAGCCTTCCACACTGTAAAACCAAGCGCGGACCATGCCTCTATCCTCAGCCCTCCCCGCCAGAGAGGTCCCCACCCAAGCCGCGGCAGAGCCAGGGCATCGCTGGGTGGCAAGTTTTAGCGTCGCTAGACTGAGCTGTCTCGGAGGCTCAGGCTAATGCTTTGCGCGCCCGCGGCACCCCGCTCTCCAGGGCCCGCCATCCCCGGAAAGAAAGGCGAACTACATTACCCAGCAGGCCTGCCAACGCCCTCTTTCCTTTCAAGTCTGCACGTGGCCGGAGGGGGAGGCGGGACCTGGACGTCACTCTCCTACATTCTCTTTCCCTGTGTCAGAACGGGATCGGTTTTTTTCCCTTTCCTCTACTCCCTCCCCCCTGCCCGCCCCTCCCTCCCTCAGTCCCTTCCCTCCCTCCCTCCCCTCTAGGCTGGGTCCCTGCGCCGGTGCGCCGGGTCCGCTCCGCAGCTGGGACGCGCGGAACTCGAGGCAGGAGTAGGCTCTTCGGAGCCGCGTCCCTCCCTTCCCCTTCCCTGCCCCCTTCCCCCACCCCGACGCAAGCTTGGAGCGACAGCCAGAGGAACCCCGAGGTGAGCATCCTTGTCTGCCCTCCTCTTTGAGTGGTCTCCGATTGCGGATCGATTCAGGGGCCTGGGAGGAGGGCTGAGTGACGCGCGCGTGCTTGTAGATAAATCCAGGAAAACCGCCCCAAACAATTAGCCCCCTTCCCCCTCTCTGCGTCTCAGCAAGCCGGGTGTCCGCACTGATCTACCGTCCCCTCCTCCCCTCTGTAGGGGACTGCTCTCTGCGACCTCGCCCCCTCCCTGGGTTTATCCCACTCCCTGCCCCATGCCCCGCCCGGTGGGGAGCCGAGGCCCTGGAGCTCCCTGGCGGAGGGGGGCTTGTGGGGGACGCACGGCTGGAGCCCGACTCGCGTTGGAGCTGCGCGCGATGTAGCTACTGTCATGTGCCGGGTTCCGACCCGGGAGGAGAAAGCGGGCGAGCCCGATTCCACTCCCTTTTGTTTTGAAGCCCGCATTTGCTGCATCGAGCAGTTGGTCTGGTACCCGGCAAACTTGCAGCTGTTGTGATCGCGCTCCGCCGAGGTAGGCTGGTCGGGGCCGCAGGCTGCAGCACTCCGGGCTGCCGGCTGGAGGGTCCCCGAGAGTGTTCCTCCACGCCGCCCCTCCCTGCCGTGGTGACAGATTGTGTCTGTGGCAGCGGCCGGGTGTGAGAGTGTGTGCGCGCCGGTCCCCGCGTGCCCGGGGATATCTGTGGTCTAGACAGGCTGCGACCCCTCCCTAAGTCCCGGGTGAGCCTGCGGCCGCGGGGGGCTTCGGGGCCGGGGCGGGAGTGGAAGCTGAGGAGGAAACCGAATTGGTGGATCTGCTGGGTGGCAGTTTTGGCCAATCCCTAGGGTTGTAATTCTGTTGGCTTTTTAAATGATTACTCCCGTCGCCGCGGCATGATCGGGCCTGGGGACTAGATACGCCCAGCGGAGCAGGGGTTAAGTTGACAGGCTCTGGGAGCCAGCTCTTGGTGGCGAGTGACCCGAGCGGCTGCAGGGTGGGCTCCAGCTCGGCTTCATCAGGATTTGGGCAGGCGACTGTCAGGCGCCGGTAGTAGGGGAGAGCGGGCGGGGGACCGTGGCTTGGCTTGAGGCGGCGATCTGGGGTCCCCGAGGATCGCGTGCTTGGATGCGACCCGAGGAGCAGACCCCGGCACCGCGCGCCTGAGGTGGGTAATTCCATTGACGTTAAAAGACAATCAGGAATCCAAGCCCCTTGTTTGACCTGTGTTGGCTCTGTTTGGTTTCACGGAGTTTTCAGGGTTTGGGCTGGGGGTGTGTGAGCAAAAAGGGGGCGCGGCGAGTAGAGGGGAAGGATGGCTGACGGCGCCGCCGTGCGTGTCCCCACCCGGAGGAGTGAGGCGTCGCCTCCCCCGTCCAGGTGTCTGTGTGTGTACACATCGCTTAGGCGTGGGGTGGGGGCGGGGCAAACCGCGGCTTAGTGAGGACCCGCGTGGGCCCGGAGTCCCTGCCTGCTCGGTCTAACAGCCCCTAGTTGTCCTAGTTGGGCAGATGTCCTGTGGGTGTCGGCGCGCCCGGGTTACCTGGGAAGGAATGGGCCGGGTGAGACCCTTGGAGTCGCGCGTGCTTTGGCAGCCGTGGGGGAATTCCTCGTCCGCGGCGCAGCCCCTCCCTTCCTTCCTCCGCGTCCCCGAAGCCCCTTTAACCTGAAGATTGGGGAGGGGCTGCGCCGCGGGCTCTCGTGTGTGGACGCCCCCACCACTAGCAAGTTGACCCTTGCACCAGAGTGCCCGGCGGGTGCGCTGTCTTTGCAGTTGGAAAGAGAATCTGCGCACTCTGTCCCCGCCCCCCAATTCTTCAGTCTAAGGACTGCGGGACTCAGGGTCTGCCCCGCCGCCCCAGCCTGGGCCCAGCCCGCCACAACCCGAAGCCCAGCAGACCCACTCCGCCCAACACTCTATCTTTGCAGCCCGAGGATTATCTCCCGGGCTGGAGGCCGGAGCGACGCAGAGGGAGGAAGCCGAGCAGCTGCGGGCTCCGCGGCGCTGGAGCCTCCACCGGGTGAAAGTGACACAGCAAGAGCGCTGTCTGGCCTAGCCGGAGCTCAGGAAGGAGCCGCCCAGAGCACGGGGAGTGGCGCCGCCTGCCCTGGCCGGGCTCCTCCTGCCCCGCTCTGGGGCTGGGTCCCAAACCTCGGGAATCTCGGCTCCCAGCAGGCAAGGGCCCCGAGAGGAAATTGCCCGGATTTCAAGACAGATCAATTATAGAGGAACTGAGTGCCGGGGACAGAGGCTAGAAAGGTGGCCAGGATGCTCTGGGATCTGAGTAAACTCCCTTCGAGTGTTTGAAACTGGATTCAACTTAACCAACACAGATCATCTTGTTCCTTGTGTCAAGTGTCCACGCTGGGTAACAAGGCTCAGAGGCAGTAATTTTGTAAGGCGTGCTGGGTAAAATGTCATCTGTGATTAGCAGATTGCTGAAATAATAATGTGTTTCTATGGCTTTACAAGGTAGCTCCCCTCCCACCCCTGGCCCCGTGTCACTTCATTTCCTAACAGTATCCTGCGAAGTAAGGGTTTGTCAACCCCATTTTACAGATGAGCACACTGAGGCTCAGAAGTGACCTAACTTGCCTAAGGTTTCTCACTAGGGAAGGACAACTTTCCTTCCTCTGTGATTTCTCTTCGACGCTTATAGCTTTGAGTGACCACTTTTTTTGAGGTTGGGTTTTTGATTCCTTAAGAAGTACTGAACCTAAAATGGACATAAATTATGGTGGTACTTATTCTTTTTCAAAACACTTGATTAGCTAACAGCTCCTAATTAAAGGACTGAAGTATTATCACTCATCTAATAATTAACTGTTGGTGAATGCATATCAGCTGTGATATACCCAGTACACGCCAGCGTATAATAAATGCATTTTCTATGTACATGATTACACAATACATGACCATGTTCACATAGATGTGTTCATGGACTTCTTATTAAAGCCAGGGTCTGTTCTTCAGCTGCTAGCTTCACAGCCATTAGATTCAAAATGTAGATCCCTGAGAAACCACCCCAAACTATTGTCCCTGTCCTCCTCCCCAAGATAGAGAAGTCCAGAAATCAGCAAAGACATTGCCTTCATGAATTTCCAAGAGTTCATGTATTTGATGATTCTCAGACACAGCCTGGAAAGATTTTAGGTTTGGCCAACTAATCTACTAATCTTCTACTTACTCACAAATATGCACTGGCCAGGACAAGTTTGTATACCTAGAAGTACGCTCAAGAAAATTTAACACATGGTCTCTGCCATGTGTTAGATTCTGAAAGTGTTTTCCAGCTGTAGAGATAAAATTCCAGCACGGGCTTATTAAGTGCCTATTCAGGCCAGACACGCTACTTGTTTGGGGTACACAAAGGTAGTACAGCAGCAGTAGTGCAAGGCAGTAACAGAGCCTACAAAAGGGAACAAATCATAAATATTTCAGAGCACTCACCCTGGGGCTCAGTTTCACATATGTTGGCTGCAAGGGTCCATGGATAGATGCAACACAGAGAGGCTTGTATGTTCCCATTGCCCTGGATTTCTGGCTGTTTGGAATCTCCCCAGTGGGCCCAGAGGTATGTCTTTCTGAGGAAGGCAGGCAGCTGGTGAGAACTTACCCTGAAGCCAACCAACAGGTTCCTCTGAGTGTGAGGTGTTCTGCATGGTCCCTCCCCAGCTGTGGTGTGCTATGACTCAGTGGAAGCTATGCTTTGGTCAAGGTCTCACTCAGGCCCTGGCTGGGTTTCATCATTTCTGTCTTACAGGTTTGTGCAGATGTTTTAGTATGCGGCTGCTTTTTGTCTGTTTCCATACTCACTTATATAATCCTTAACAGTGGCCTCCAATTTCATTTCAGTTTTGGGGTCTGCTGCCTTTGTTTTAAGGTTATATGATTTATATTTCAGATCATGAAAAAGCAGGAGGTGAATGGCTAGAATGGAGTAAAAAATCTTGTGCTCAGAGAGAATAGAAGGTACAGACAGGCAAAATGCAATTTTTGATAATTCTTCAAACTTGGTGGCATTTCTGCATAACTTACCTTTTTATACTCTTTGGAGAGGGGCTCCTTTCTTTCTGCTCACCTGTGGGCCTCTGAGCTCAGCTACATAGCTTCAGGCCTACATTTTCTTCTGCTTGAAGCCCAGACTGAGCTGTGGGCAGAACAAGGTGAGAAGAGACTCAGCCCTGGATCCTAGGTACTCAGGTTGGGTAGGGCCTTACAGATAGGGTAATGTCCATGTGAAGACTTCAAGGTCCAAGGTCAGAGGAAGCCCTTGACAGAGTGGGGCAAGAAATCTTGGATTTTTGTATGTCATCTAATCTTTCTCTATATCATGTATTTTATGGAAGAGAAGTTGGGTCTTTATTTCTCAAAGAGAACTCTCTAACTTCTCCCTTTTCTCAAATTCTGATAAAAGTTCTAGAGTACACTTTTAGCTTGAGATTGCTTTCCTTGTAGACTGGCCCTTTCTGCCTTGTGTTTCATCTTTGGCATCTGGGAATGAACAAGGGCATGCATCTGGGACAGGGGGTGGGCCTTAGGCCTTCTAGCACTCTTGTTTGGTCTATGTCCTTGTAGCCTTGAGGTAGGGTCCTTAGTAATCTCCTGCAAGTGTCTACTAAGCTGTTATGTCTTTGCATTTCTCCTAGAAGAGGATCCATAGATACCATTTGATTCTCAAGGACAAAACTGCTGGTGGGGGAGGACATTCAGGTTGGACAGGTGGTTTGTTGGCACGGAGACTAAAATACTCTGTACTTGATGTGGCTTCACCATTTTCACCATATTTCATACCAATTGCTCCACGTAGAATGCAATATCAACCTGTGAAGCTGGCACTGACCCCATTTTGTATTTGAGGAAACTGAATCTCTGTGGTTAAGTCACAAATAAATGGTAGAACAGGGATCCAAACCGTGGTCTTCAGACCTCAAACTCACTGCCTAGGATTGAAGTGGTGCACCATCTGGCATTTCATTACAGTTTTGTGAGTAGAGGGCCTTGAACCTTTCAGAGCTTCTTTGTGTCTACTGCTGACTTGTATCCAGCTATGAAGCCAGACTTAACTGCTAACTAACCCAGGGGTTATGAAGGATGAAGGACGGGAGGCAGTTTCCATAGCAACAGTATGTAAAATGAGCCTGGTATGGGTTGATTTCATGGAAGAGATGAATTTGGGTGCAGGTCTGAGTGAGTAGTGGAAGAGGTTTTAGGCTGCAGCACAAAATGGGTAAAGGGAAACTGTGTGTGCATGGGGTAGGATGGAACAGACCAGAGAGGTTTGATTGATGTCCTGCAGTTAGTATGAGCTTAATAGTTACTGGGCTATGTTTCTATGCTGTTGAGGGCTCTCTACGAAGCCCTGGGCTACAGTAGTGAGCAAGGACAGCCCCTGCCTCAAGGAGCCCACTGTCTAGGAGGAGAAACACACTCTAAACTCTTACATTCAATATGAATGCCATAGTAGAGGAAAGCCTGAAGGTATTTCTACAGCAGCATGATATTGGGCACTGAAATCAGGGAAGGCTTCCTGAAA